ACCTAATGAACATTCACTTGTTGGAAATATGGGCATTTGACTATAATATCTAATTGTTGTTAATTTTGATAATTTACACTGGGAAGAAAGAGAAATTCTACGCGTAGTTGGAATCCTAAAAGCAATATACATATATGTTTAATTGTACTCGAATACAAAAGCTGTATTTTAATTATTGAACTTACTCCTTATTCAAATTATTAATGGTTGAAACTGGGAGCAGAGTGTTTAAAGTATAAATTGTGTTTTCATCTAAATTATGAACATTTTGTATTGGCGATTTTGCACAAACGTATTCTTTAAAAGCGCATAAAAATAAAGACCTCAGATCGTCAGCAGAACATAATAAATGATCTTGAAATAATATCATAAATTCCAAACATACATGAATTTGTGCTAAGCATACTAACTTTTTCCTAGAAATATTATTTCGAACTAATTATATCATATATATAAGCCATAATTAAGAATCACATTGTAATCTCGGTATACATACCTATATTTATCAATTATAAATTCATCACATGAAACATTCCCCAGTATTTCTTGGATATCATGCAAGTCACCGAATCTTGAGTTCATTAAAATGTATATATAGTCTCTGCATAATTTTTCAAAACCCATATCAATAACATACTCTAATGGTAAACTTCCTGACAGTAAATGCGAAATTATATTATGTTGACTTAAATTATTAATTGCTTCAGAAAATCTTGTTGAATTTGTTAAATTTACCTAGTACATATTATTAATTTTATTATTATGTATTATATGCGTTGATAAAATAAGTTTTTTTAGTAATTCTTATTAATCCATACCTGTGCAAAATACTCACTCTCGGCAACTTCTTTAAGAACAGTGTGTATACATTTTGTCATTTCAAAGCAATTCGAATTTTCTAAAAGTTATATTTCGAGTGATGAATAAATATGCAATGGTACTTTTTTTTCTTATACAAGGTATACTTACTAATAAGTAGATCCCACAAGATGTCAGTAAGATCCAAATTGTATCTAAATGGGAGATTTTGTAAATAATCTTGAATTTTTATAGTATTTTCTAAATTTTCTTCTGGTACAAAATTGGTTTCTTGCGCACGATTATTTTCAGAAACTCTGAAACTGTGATCTCCATTGAGCAGTAGGTTTATATTATTCATTATTGTGTCATGATCCTATTTTATAAATAAATAGTATTATCAACAGTTTCGTATACTTCCCATATATTAAAAGAATTAACTTTTTAACATACTTCTGCATATGGACTTGTGAAATTTTCGGGAAATTCCAAAGGTAAGGGATTATAAGAAGAATTTGTTTTTTTCTTGAAATCTTCCACTATATTCAAATACTGATTTAATAACAATAGTTGTGTCCACAGCTCTTTCAGAGGACTATCATTTGATCCAGTTACTACTTGAGCAACCTGAAAACGATACAAAGTATATATAATTTGTTTAACATGCACAGAGAACTTATCTTACCAAAATATTTTTTGATGCTCTTGTGAAACTGTTCAGGGACAAATTGGAAGTATAGACTTCTACACTTATACTATTCTCAAATTTACTTTTTGCATTTTTTTTCCAATCTATCAGTTCTTCTTTTCTTCCAAATAAATCGAAGCTATTAAATACAGATATAACAACCTACACAGAACAAACATAATGCATACTGAAAATCATTACACAATTTAAGATGAAATACTTTATATAGAAGAAAAAAGCATTGAAAAAAATTGTCAATGAATTAAGAACTTTACCTTGTCTTTACAACTCAATTTTTTTTCATAAAATCACTGTTATATCCTAACTTTTTATATTCTGTATATTTTTAATACCTACATTTTGCTCTTGAACATGTGAAAGTTTTAAATGCTGTTCAAGAAATGTTGACGACGATTCCTTAATAGTTTCAAAAGTTTCAATGCCATCTGAACAAACTTCAATTGTAGTAAACCATTCTTTCTGAATATTTGTACCTAGTAATCTAGCTCTTTTATTATCATTACCATTACAAAGAGCAAATATAGGAGGAAATGCATCTGTGATAAGTTCTATGCATGCATTTAATGCACCACTAAAATAAGACTTTGCAATTAATATAATTAATTATGATAAGTTTCTAGTGTAATTGGCATAAATTTACCATGCTTCTGATCTGCTTAGTGGTAAATATTTTTCTTCCTCTTTGAGCCAATTTTGTTTTACCAAAATAATGCTATCTTCAAAATTAACATCTTCAAATGAATATTTTAAAGGTGATCCAGTAACATCAAATTCTGAAACTATTATGTCATTAAATTATACATTATCCGTGTAAATAATTTAAAGATTTTATTATTAAATTTACCGTTTGTATAATCATCGCTAATGTATTCAGAACAAATATTAACGTTGTCCGTAGGTCGCTGAAAATAGGAAAGACAAAACATAATAATACGAATAATTTTTCGATACCATCATCAATTATTAGTTAACATACTTGTTTATATAATATTATACAAGGAGAGTCCTTATATTCTGGAAATAGTCGTGTCACATACGATAAACAAAGTTTACTTATTTTTATAGAAGGATCTAATACTTTTCTTAATACCTCGATTTCATTCATTTTTGATAAAACATAAAAATTATAACAGCATTGCCGATTTTCAGGCTCTGTTCTTCGGTCAGTTTGTAAGATTTGAAGGATTTCTCTCAGCGCCGTCGACGGTAGAGATACGAACCTCAGCTTGTGAAAGTCACAGAAACTTAGGTATCTACTAAGGAGACACAAGTTTATTAAAAGTGTCAAAAATAGAAACTTATTATATTTATTTCACATGAAATGTTTAAAAACGACGATTTATAATGGGAAAAATAGATAAAAACATCGTTAATATTTAGATGTAGATAAAAATAAAACGAGTCTAATTCAACTTATGGTATGTGTGTAAAAATATTCATTAAAAAGTCAATAATGATATTGTATTGATCAATGATATAACAATAAAAGTAAGTAAGTTTGTGTATCTTGTACATATGTCTATTTCAGATAAAACATCACATTATTATAAACAGCGATCAATTCCTTAGTGTAATACCGATAATATATAAAATGCACGAAAGCATGGATGATATATGCAAAGCTATAGATGAAAATTTATTGCGAAATCTGGAACTAATGGAAGAGAAAATTAATGTTAGTATTCAAATGGAAAATATGTTGCGTAATGGCCATATAGAGCTAGCTAAAGCTAAGTATATACGTGGCAAAGAGAGTATAAGCATTTTACAGGTTCCCGAAGATGAGGAAAAAGTAGTTACATTATTTGAATTAGAGACCAAGATGACAGAGGAAACTGGTAAAATAATTCCAAATTTTGATATAACTTTAAAAAAGGTAGATGAAGATGGAGATGAAATTCCAGATCCTATTAAATGGTTCGGTGTTCTAGTTCCGCAAAGTTTGCGAATTGCTCAAAAACGTTTTCAAGAAACAATTTATCTTGCTGTAAGATCAGCAAATATACAAGCAGAAATTGCTTCTGTATTAGAAAAATTAAAGTCTTTGTATTTTTTGAAACATGCTTATTGTCCAATAGAAAACAAAATTTAAAAACAATTGCAAATATCTAGAATTCATTTTATTCTAACACCTTCTATTGCTTATATATATTATATTATTAACTATTATTATAAAAAACATTACTTGTAAAATATTATCCCACAAAAAATTGCCAAAACAATTAATTCACCTAAAAAAGCATCCAGAGGATATTAATCCAAAAAAATTAATCCTCTAAAGAAGCATTCACAAGTTATTAATAAACCGTTCAAAAAATCTTCAAGAAATGTTAATCTTCACTCCCCCAAAAAATGTTTTCAAGTAGAAAGTTTTACGTTCAGTGCGTGTAGTCGTATATTAATCTATAAAAGATGAGTCGAATCATTTAGAGTAAATAATTTGTACTGTTTGAAAAATTGAAATAATTACTTATCCACATTTTAAATAAATGAGATAAACTTTAAAATATGTATGATGTTAATTTCAGCTGGATTTGCGTTTTCGATTTATCATTACTGATTAATCTACAAACTCACGCCAAATTATCAGAAGTTCATCACTTTACCGTCGACAGCGCTGAGATAGAAATTCTTCAAATCTTACAAAACTGCCTATGTGTACCTAGTCTATGTTTACATCATTGCCCTGCCCCCTGGCGTGACGCTACTGGAAGATTATCGGTCAATTATCAGTAGTGACGATTTATTAAACTATAATAATGGCAGTTAAAGAGAAACATTCAGAAAATTCTACTGACGAAATCGAATGGAACGTCGAAAATGAAATTCAATTATTTTTTGCTATGAATGGACATAAACCTGTTGGTAAGATTTAATATAATACATAGAATAGAGTTTTTATAGGTTATGTTTACATTAGTATCGCATAAGAGCGATAATTAATAATATCATTAGTGGAAGATTTTACTTTTCTTCTACAAGATTTAATCAAACATGTTTTTCGAAGGTGTGAATAAATATTTCCACATGATTTGTATATGGGAAAAGTTTCGTGCTGCCACACACAAAGACATACCATTGAAAATGATTTGGGATCATTTGGAATCTATGTATGACCTCATAGCATTGGTAATTATTAATGAATTTAACAAATAATATGTCATGGTTACAAGTAAAATGAAACATATAAATAAATCATTTTAGGACGATATGGAAGATTTACCGTTCCCTAGTCAAGAAATAGACTTTTGTTTACCTGAACAAGAATTTTTGGGAACGATTAAAGCTAGGAAAAAAGAAGAGCCAGAATTTAAGCTGAAAGAACAAAGGGACAAATATAAGGAAATGAAAAAAGAAAAAGATGTTAAAGATCTTATGAAAAAAGATACAATACTTCGTGACCTTAAAGGGACTAAAGATATCGATAAAAAGAAGGAAGAGTTTAAAAAATATGTTAAGGATATAGAAATGAAAAAAGACAAACTTCGAGACATGAAAGATATTCGGAAAGATCATAAATCTTCAAAGGGGAGAACCAAAGGAAAAGATGATCTTGAAGAAACAGGTATATATTTCTATGTTTAATATAATTTTACATGTCCACAGGATTTATTAATGTCTTTTTCTAGTGTCTAATGGGAAGAAAGAACGCAAAGATTCTGATTCAGGCCGCGAAAGCTTAAAAAGAGGTCCAAAACGACCAACCAGGCAAAGTGTCGATAGTACATCTAAAGCATCTCCAAGTCCACGTGATACACCTCCACCAAAGCGAAGAAGGATATAACAATTTCTGACAAAATTGAGTTTGTTATTTGTATATGCGAACACAGTTTGCATCACAAACTTGAGACAAGATGCTATTCACGTATCTAATATATGTGAAACATGTACAGACTTTTCTGAAAGATTATATATCTGTGAAAAGATAGTTTTATAAGAAGTTGCGCATTTATATTTTGTAAATAGAATATATGCTACATAATGAATTATTAATAAAAATATTAAGTATTTGTATGTGTAATAATATTCTGAATGAATTTACTACCTTATAAAACCGTAAAATAGAAATAGTAAATCACAACGGACACAAATAAAAATATAACAGTAGGACGAAATGAAAAAACAGATGTACGGAGAATAGTAGCCAGTGTTTATTACAGAAGTCACAGACATCTTCATGGACACAAAGTTTTGCTTCGTATATTCTTATGGTACTGGAATAGCGGTGTCATCCTTATTTCGGTCGATGGAATGAATTGTATTGCCAAGATCAAGATACTCTTGACGGTTTTAACATGTTGGCGGTAAATACTTCTATCGAAGTCTTCTTGCTTCACGTTCCGACTCCAGTAAGGTTAGGAGGTCACCTTCTCGTACCGGTCCTTTTACATTTCTGATAATTTGTCGGTTTTGTTCTCCCAGGAATTCCACTTTAACTTGCGTACACTGACCCTGCGAGCCAGTTCGTCCTAGGACTTTAATAACTCGAGCCAAAACTACTGGTTTGTCCATGATGTTCTCACGTGGCTTTGATGCGTCAAGGCAAAGACGTTTCAAGGAAATGAAAGAGCCTTCCTCGTCCCGCAATTTAGTGTAATGAAAATGGCGACTTCCGGTAAGCTTCTCCAGCCATTCATATACATATGTATGTAAACATCGATGATTGTACACTTCAATTTAGTTTAAACAGAAAGTAGTGAATACTTTTTAGATTGATAATGAAAAGTATGTATCTTAGAAGTGGAAAATTTTTCTTCATTACGAACATAAATACTGCAATTTATTATAATTTATTTCTTAGCGCATAATAGATGGCGTTTGCTATATTTTTAAATTTAATTGCACGCGATGCCGAGGATTTGAACATTCTAATTTATTCATAATCATTGTTTTCAATGCTGGAATTGTTTATTTAAAAACTTATTTATGAAAAACATAATAAAGAAACGCAAGTGGTGTTTCTAAGTAGATTTGTTGAGGAATACAATGCCATTCCTTGTATAAATTTGTTCGTATCTAAAATTAACGAAGGGATGCTATTTGATTCGTTCAACTTAGGACCAATTCAACTATAAAATACATTTAAACTTTATGATTTTTTTCGTATAGTGCTTTCTTTTATATTTGCCATATAACTGTATCTTCACCTGAGAATTTGTTCTGTATTGGTAGCACTGTTCAATACATATTTGGACTTTTAACTTTGAAAAAGCGTTTCACATATTTTTTCGTAAATTGACTCTATGTTTTGAAAATCTTTTTTAATTCTCATACATACGTAGTTTTCAAGACAATCAATTTAGAAGAAAATCTCATCTGCTTCGAG